AACGCACGCACGCACGCACGCACGCACGCACGCACGCACGCACGCACGCACGCACGCACGCACGCACGCACGCACGCACGCACGCACGCACGCACATAACATGCAGTTTCTCTACGGCGACCCATGGTGGTTTGGCTCGGCTTCGGGGTATTTGAGGACAATCCGCTTGTTGCGTTCAGCAATATGCGTCAATGTGGATGCAGGGACTACGCACTGTTCAAACGCGACTACTTGGTGTCTTCTGCTATTGTCAGCTGGTCAGTGGACTGTCACAACATGAGCACGCCAATGCAGAATGCAGGGATGCGCCGCAAGTTCGGCACACAATCATGCGACGGTGCAATGGGTCTAGTCAGTCAGAGGCAAACGGGTTTTCGAGGATGAGATATTCAGACGAGTCTGTCGCGGTGTTCCCTTGGTTCCCCCAATGTTTCGCCAGTAGATCTTTACTTGCTTCAGGAGGTTTACCTTTTTTCTTTCCCCAGTAAAAGTGAACAAGTCAAACTAAGAGTAAAGCTTTCCGCTTACCTCAGGCGGTTTGACTTTTTGCTCTCCCCCAGAAAAAGCAAACAAGTAACAAGTAAACTTTGGTGGACCCAAAACAAGTCAAGGGTCCAAATAATTCACATTTTACATTGTACTTTTAGTGGGAAATCATAAAGCAGTAACACGCCCTTGTATTTCATACTCGTTTTGTGCAGGGCTTTGCAGTTGTTTTATGTGCATGTTTCCACAGTTTCCACAGTTGAACTTCAAACATTATCCATTGTACCAGGTCTGCCAGGTGAACAGCCTGCTTTTCCCTTTGTTTTTTGTCGGAGGGGGGTTACCATACATATGTGTACATATATATATATATAGACAACCATGAGTGTACATATATATATATATATATAGATATGTAGACACACGCAGATACATACATACATGTATGCATGCATCCATGCATGCATACATACATACGTACATACATACATAGATACATACATACATACATACATACATACATACATACATACATACATACATACATACATACAGACAGACAGACAGACAGACAGACAGACAGACAGACAGACAGACAGACAGACAGACAGACAGACAGACACACAGACAGACAGACAGACAGACAGACAGACAGACAGACAGACAGACAGACAGACAGACAGACAGACAGACAGACAGACGTATATATATATATAGTTCCTGTGGCAGAGTGGCTGAGTCTGGTCACATTCTACTTGTTCTAGGGTTGAGCCAGTCAAAGCCGGCTTCCATTCCAGAGAGAAGCACCCCAACGCACCTGAATCGATTGGCGGTGCACTTATCACCGTTCTCTGGCAATGCAAAGGGCATGCCAGGATGGCCGTTGCACGAATTAGGGGAGGCGGCATTGTGGCCAAACCTAGCAATTTCTAGCCTGTTCTTCATCATGGAGTCTTCTTTCTTGCTCCGCATTGCAAGCAAGCTGCTGCTTGCAACTGTGTGCTGTATGCTTTGCATATCTTGCACCGGTCAACCCAACTAATATTTTTGTTTGCTGCATGACAGCAACTCCGGACATGGGCCAAGACATTCGTGAACACGGGCAGCCGCAAGTCTTTGTGGAAGATACATCTGGATCCCGAAAATATCTGTGAGCTTTGGGTCCGGACAAGTAGATCTGTTTTTTGAGCAGTGGTGTTGCTTTCCCTCGAGCCAGCGAGAATAGCGACAGTTGTGGGAAGTGGACAATGGAAAGGGTGCATTACTTTGATTACTCTGCGGGTTGGTCAAAGCAAGTTCTGTTTGAGGCTACCATTGGCAGATGAGGCTCTTTGATTTTGCTTCAATCAAAGGGCAAAGGCATGTGTGTTGATTGGCCCTTACTTGGTTGAACAGACAATGACTCAGATACCGGAGGACTTAGGCATTGTCAATAATCGATTCTGTATGATTGTCAAGAAATCATGGAACCAGCCTTTCTTGCAGAGGCTGGTTCTCGATTCATTTGCCGACGCAGGGCTCCTAGGTTTCAATTCCGTGAAACATGGATGTCGATTGGCCCAACCCTTCAGCTGTCAGAAGGATCGCGCTTCGCTCCGCTCCGTGAAGGAGCGATCTCTGCCCTTGGCCCAGGCCGAGAAGTTGAAGCCGAAGCCGAAGCAGCCTAAAAGCAATCGACGGTCCAAGAATCCGGTTGGGGATTTGGGGTGTTGATGTTCATGTTTCGCCTCGAGGACTTGGGATTGCTGTTTTTTCCTTGTGGCATGGCAAGAAAAGTCGCGTAGCGTTTCCCCGTGGAAAACTTCGTGCCCGAGAGCGCTCGGTCCCTGCCCAGACTGAAGCAGGAGACCTACGCATCCGAGCGAGCCAAGCGAAGCGAAGTGAGAGGCCAATTGCTCTGAACCTTAATCTTGCTCAATGGAGAGAAGCATAGCAGCATAACGACTACGGGAACTTTCTGCAGTTTGCCTTTCCGTCTCGCTCAGCTTGGCCTGACGGGATAAGAGAGGACATCGGGGTCCATCCCCACATCTTGATCGCTTTCGCTGGACCGCGAAGATCGCGGGCCAGCTTGCCCGCGCGGCGTCGTTTACGCCGCGCCGGCTAACCGTTTCAGCCCTTGTGGGCGATTGAGGGGAGCTGCCGGAGCCAGCCAGTCAATGCGATACGATTAGACAGATCTCAAACCCAATAAAGGCAAGAAAACAACAAACTAAAACAAACAAAGGAAACCCGGGGAGTGGAGGCTGCAATTCGAGGGAGGGAATTCCATCATGAGGGGATTGCTCCAGAGCAAGCGGCAGCAGCCCCTATGCATCCTTCAGCATCCATGGTTTCCATTCCACATGACAGACTGCGGAAAGTTTGAATTCTCCAACTAGGGTTCTTCGGTTCTCAAGGGAAAGTCAAACCAAGGGCGACACAGCCACAAAAAGAAGCAAAGGCTGGCAGACCATGATCCAAGTGAAGGTTTCTGGGTGCGGCTTCGAAGGCTTAGCGTGGAGGGCCAAAGATTGAACCGGCAGGTGCTCTTTTCCTTTCTGTAGCTCTTAAGCACCTCAAGGTTTGCAAAACTTTCCTTCGATTTGGATCGGCTGTCACAACCCAACCAACTGACTATTGACCACGTCTCATCCCTCTCCACATGACCTCGTGCCAAAGAAGGTTCCTCTGCGCTGGGGCAGTAGCTTTAGGCTTGTTCCGAACACCGCTGGTGTCCGGGCTAAGAATGAACCAGCTGGGTGGAGCTGGCGTAAAAGCAAATGCCACAGCCTCTTGCACTCGAGCCAACAACATTGGCCCCTCTACTCCACAATGTCCACGCCCTTTGCGTGGCTACTTGCAGGTTCAACATGAGGGTG